TCCCTTCCCTCCATCTGCCCAATTCTTCCTTTCAAAAACTAGGAGAAGCCATAGATATTCTATGGGGCGCGGCTACAGTGTTTGGCCAGGTTCAAGCCTCGGACTGATGAAAGCCTCTCATTGCCAAGTGCAAGTCCCAGCTGGAGGGCAGGGCCCTCCCAGCACAATTATAGCCAACGGCTGTGGTTGTGAGCTTGAACCCATGGTCCGAACACGTGGCCCCAAGTGCCTTGTGATGGAGTTCTGGTGCATGTAGTTGAGTGGGGATGAAACTCACGAGAATATTGTAAACATCTTGGTCACACCCTTACTTTGCCTCGTGGCATCTGCTATAAAATAAAGGCATGGCTGTGGGCATGGTCGCTGTTTCTCAGAGAAGCAGCATCCCACTGAGACCCAGATTTCATTCTCTTGTCTGTCTTTTCTAAGCCTTTCAGCTGCCCCACTCAGGTTTACCCTTGGCAGTGCTGGTGCAGCACACTTTAAAAAGATATGCCTCCACGCTCTGAGGGTGGGTTCCTGCCTCAAACCCTGTCCTTACAGGAAACAGCTCCAGGAAACAGCTCGGGGGGAGGGTGCAGCCATTTCCAAGACAACCCCTGCAGGACTGACCTCCTTCTGCTTGGTCACGCTTCTGGCTGTAATGTTACACCCAGGGTTTATATTAAGATAGATTAGTTATGCAACTTCTTTCCCCACTGAGTTATGAAACTTCTTTCCCCACTCTCCAAATTGTCTTTCAATTGATATTATTTTAGTTTCTCCTAGTTAAATTTACTATTCAAGGAATATATTATACCAATCTATATACATTTCTTTGAGTTTTTATTTGCTGAAATGTAGTCATTTGGCAACAACAAAAAATTATCTATGAGCCCAGCCAGTGGTGCAGTTGTTGAGCATCAACTTATGAATGAGGAGGTCACGGTTTGAATCCTGGTCAGGGCACACATCTGGGCTGTGCACTCCATCCCCAGTGATGGGTGTGCAGGAGGCAGCCGCTCAAGTGATACAGTCTCATCATTGATGTTTCTCTCTCTCTCTCCTTCTCCCTTCCTCTCTGAAAACAATAAAAGATTTTTTAAAATTATTTATGAAAACTTCCATTTAATAGTTACATATTCTTTCAGCAGGCAGTGTTTTTGTTATTTGATCAACACTCAACTATTGTCCGCATACCATATGCTAGACACTCTAATAGGTATTCATACTAATATTAGAGAAATATGCAAATTGTCCATGACACTGTCACAGTAACAACCGAACAGCAGGCTGTGTGGGGCAACAAGGCCGGCAGGGGGTTAGTGAAGGACGGCGAAACAACTGAACAGCAGGCTGCGTGGGGCGACAAAACCAGGCTAGCGGGGGGACAGTTGGGGACCACCAGGCCAGTTGGGGGGCAGTTAAGGGTGATTAGGCCAGGAAGGGGGGCAATTAGGGGCAATCAGGCAGGTAGGCAGAGGTGGTTAGGGGTGAGCAGACTGGCAAGGGGGAGCTTTTAAGGGTGATCAGGCAGGCAGGCAGATGAACAGTTAGGAGCCAGTAGTCCCAGATTGTGAGAGGGATGTCTGACTGCCGGTTTAGGCCGGATCCCCAGTATCCGGTCTAAACCGGCAGTCAAACATCCCCCAAGGGGTCCTGGACTAGAGAGGGTGCAAGCTGGGCGGAGTGGACCCCCCCTCCTCCTGTGCACAGATTTCATGCACTGGGCCTCTAGTGAAAAATAAAAGACACACATGATCCCTGCCTTCAAGGAATTCTAGTCCAGTTAAGGGAGACTGAAGGAAATAAATGAGTACAGATTATAATCAGTGGTATAAAGAAAGTAAATTGTGTTGCGTAGGATAATAATAATAGGGCAATCTGGCTGATTTGGAAAAAGGAGCTCAAGGAAGACCTTTCTGAGGAATGACACGTAGAGACCTGAAAGACTTAAAAAGTAAGCATGTAAAGAACAGGAAGAAATAGAAGGACGCATTAGAGAAACAAAGACCAAGGACTTGACCTGGGAACAGGATCGGCCTGTTGAAGGAACTTGGCTGAAGTGGCTGAAGCTTTGGTTGAGAGTGAATTCTTTTAGCCATGATTCAGTAGTTTGAATCCTATTCCCAGGCACTGAAGAGCCACTGGAGAATTTTAAGCAGGGGAAGGACAGGTTGCAATTTATATTTTAGGGATGTCACTTGGTAGTGAGATCAGAGTGTTTTAAAAGTTTCTGTAATGTTTTATATCAAGTCAGTAGCCACCAGCCACATGTGACTATTCAAACATAAACTGCTGATTAAAATTAAGCAAGATTTAAAATTCGGTTCCTCAAATCCCATGTGACTGCTGACCACAATACTGGCCAGCACAAAGAGAGAATGTTTCCATGGGTGCAGGGACGCTCTCCCAGGCAGTGTTGCTCTGGAACAGCGGCTTGTCCATGCCTTCCTCCTCTCCATTCTTCAGCTCCTGCACCTTCCAGTAGGCTCCGCCAGGTGTGTCATGGCTCTTGGCTTCCTCATTCTCATTCCTCCTGTTCTTGGCTCTTCCACTTCTATGCCTTCCTTCGCCATCAGCACTTCCCCTTCCCTTTTCTCTCCCTCTGTTCCCGACACAGCTTTCCAGTCAACTTCACAAACCTGTTTTGATGGCAACTTAAATTCAAGGTGCCCATAAATGCATTGTTTTTCTTCATGATCATTTACTTATCCTGACCCCTCTATTTTTTTTATTAATGACACTGGTAACGTCTTAGTCATCAGCTTTAAGTGATGTGCACTCCTTTCCCACTCAGGCAGATATGCAATCGTTGCTTAATCATAGGTAATCTACCTTCATACTGTCTCTTACCTACTTTAATATCAAATATTGCCAAATTAATTTTTGCCTAGATCAGTGGTTCTAAACCTTCTGGCCCTTTAAATACAGTTCCTCATGTTGTGACCCAACCATAAAATTATTTTTGTTGCTACTTCATAACTGTAATGTTGCTACTGTTATGAATCGTAATGTAAATATCTGATATACAGGATGGTCTTAGGCAACCCCTGTGAAAGGGTCGTTCGACCCCCAAAGGGGTCGTTACCCACAGGTTGAGAACCGCTGGCCTAGATTATTGTTATAATTTCCCTGAAAAATCCATTCCAAATCAGCATTAGTAGATTAATTTCCCTAGAGTAAAGTTTCAAGCAAGGGGTTCAAAGATACATGTTGCTTAAAGATACATACTGTTTTCCCAGGCTATAAAAATAATGTCAGATTTCCACTTTTTCTGTAACCTACTCTTTTTCATAGCTTGTTTGTTATTCCAAAACCTGTCCCATGCAGTGCACCCTCAACCTTTGCTTATGCTATTCCCTTTTCATCTGCAAGACATCTCACCTCCACTTTATGGATTTTTATGGACTTTTATTTAAGACCCATCATAAATGCTACTTGCTCTTTTTAAGCCGTTCTTTAAATTCAAAACTTATTATTTTCTTTAATTCCCAGTACCATTTTTTAATGTCTTTTATTTCTTGAGTTTACAATTTTTCATCTTGTATTATAGTTTATTAATGTTTTGTACCTTGTAATCTCTACAGACAAGAATAGTGTATACATATTAATATCAAAGGCATTGTCAATCATATTTATCAAATTAAATTAAGTAATGCAAATATCCTCAAATTTATTACAGATTTTATTGCAGCTGTAAAGATATATTCTGCTTTGATTTATGTAGGTATCAGAATAAGTCAAATTTAGCAAGTATGGTATAACAATTTCCTTTTAAAAAGTTTGCAGGTGAGAACTGAAGTCTTCAGTCACTTGGAGTTACTCAGATGGCGTTTTCTTACCTGTGAAAAGAAGCATAAAATTTTCTGTTTTGTCAGGGCAAAGCATTTGCAAAGGATAAATTGAACATCATATGTGAAATTCTCAAGTGACTGTACTTACCGATAAGTCAACCTCTGCCAAGATTTCAATTTTCAAACTCTTTAGCCCAAGATGGATGCCTGAGAATGCAAAAGTCACGATTTGCTCTTGGATACACAGCATGGTGTTCTTGATGGGTGGCATACAGAACAAAAAACAGATAGGCTGACACTTTTAAGTGCCTTATTGTTTCCTCAGGACTTTATTGGAAGAAGAGATTTCCAGAAGAAAATACTTTCATTATTTACATCATAAAATGTACAGAACATACCATTGAAGTTTCATTTGGAGAAATCACTTGAACTATTTTAAATTCATAACTGGTTGATTGCCATGTATAGATCTTTACAATAGTACTTGCTATTTATATCTATATATAAATTTAATACTATGTATATATAATTATCTACAATATATATGTAGATACAAAATTATATGTAAGTTGTACTTCATAATTTTGGGTTAATCTGCAAATGCTAATGACAAGTCCCATGCTCCATGACATGGTCATTGCTACTCATTTAGATGTCAGTAACAGTTATTTGATATCAGTATGGAACAACAAACAGCACATAGTCTAAAATATGGACATCACATACAACTGGTTACACTAGGTGCCACCAAATATGCTCATGGTCTCGGGGTGATTAGCCATTAATAAAAATTTGGGAGGCAAATGTGAATACAACTTTTGGATGAGTTATTGTTCTAAGATGCTACTTGTTGTTTGTTATTTGTTGTCATAACTTAAATATGGAAATCAAGATGCTGAGCTGAAATTAGGTCCCAATTTCAACGTTTGGATAAGCAGAACAATGTTAACTTATTTAGACTACACAGGTCATACATTGAGTCACACCACTAAAATATTTTTGAAATCTATACACTAAAAATAATACTTTTATCCCACTATCTTAACTTTTCTAATTGACCCCACTTTCCTTTCTTCCTGACATCTACCTCCATCAGCCTTTAACATGGGTCATTTCTAACATAAAAAAAAAAAAAAATCAGTGTGTCTCAATGCAAATACCTTAATGAACATAATTTCTATGTTTGCTACTTTCTATCTATCTTGGCCAATTAATCAATTTGATATTACCTGTGAAACATTAAATCAATAAGAAAATGAGGAAGTAATATAGATTCCAAACTATCCTTGAACATGTTAAGAACCAAGCACACCCCTATCTTAGGGCTAGCCTCCCCATTTGCTCTTGTCTCAGCCTTAAAAGCTCCACACAGCAAATATTTGCAGAGTTCTCTTAGGACCATGCTTCAGTGTCATTTCCAAAAGTGATAATTACCAACCATCTATGCAACAATATTTCTCTTTATGTACGTATTGTGCTTTATTTTTCTTCACTGCATTTATCATCATCCTTTCTTATATTTTACTAGAGGCCCAGTGCATGAAATTCTTGCACTGGGGGAGAGGGTTCCTCAGCCCGGCCTGTGCCCTCTCGTGGGAACAGGCGTAAGCTGGCAGTGGAACATCCCTCTCATGGTCTTGCCATCGCTGCTATGCTTGCCAGCCATGAGCCTGGCTTCTGGCTGAGCAGTGCTCCCCCTGTGGGAGTGCACTGACCATGTAGGGGGCAGCTCCTGCATTGGGTGTCTGCCCCTTGGTGGTCAGTGCGCATCATAGTGATGGTCATTCTGGTCGTTCCACTGTAACGGTAGCTTAGGCTTTTATTATATAGACTAGAGGCCCAGTACACAAAATATGTGCACTTTGCGGGGTGGTGGGAAGTCCCTCAGCCCGTCCTGCGCCCTTTTTGCAGACTGGAAGCCCTCAGGGAGCAGGCCTAAGCTATAAGACATCCTTAGCACTGCTGCAGAGGCAGGAGAGGCTCCTGCCACCACTGCTGCACTCGCCAGTCATGAGCCCAGCTTCTGGCTGAGCAGCACTCCCCCTATGGGAATGCACTGACCACCAGGGGGAAGCTCCAGCATTGAGTGTCTGCCCCCTGGTGGTCAATGCACATCACAGTGACCAGTCATTCAGCCATTCAGTCAATTTGCATATTAGCCTTTTATTATATAGGATAACTACTTGTTTTTTGGACATCAGCCTCCCAATTACAATGTAAATGGAGGGCAAGAGCTTTATTCTTGTCATGTATTCAACACCCAAAATGTGTGTCAAACACCTGATAAATAAACATAAACTGAATGAATAATGAGACCAAAACAATTCATCCTATTGGACAATTCAAGTGTCCATGGTCATCTGCATAGACACTCCTGAAATCTACCTCTCCATAATCATATAGAAAACTTATGATCATGAATGAATTCAACTGTTAATTATGGAGTAAATCATATAAGACCACTATCATTTCTTCTTATTAATACATGAAAAAGTTATTAAACTGTTAATAAACCACTTTGTCATTGATATCTTGTAAAAACTTGAGAAGTGGGTTGTATATTTGTTGCAGAAGTATTTTCTTTTTACCCTCTCGTCTCCTCTGTTGCTAATTGATCAGTGAACACCAACGTAATCTTATCTCCCCATCAATCTCAAATTGTTCTCCTATACCCACATTTCCATCTACCTGTCTAATTATGAGAAGGATACATTTTCTTACTCTTTAACCCCTTGTATGCCATTAGCGTCTGTAGTTGCCAGCAGCGGACCTTCGCCACACACGATGCACGGCTACTAAAAAAAAAAAAAATGTTTTCCCTACGTGGCAGTCCTGATCTGTTAAAATCATCTTTTGTGAGAATTTTCAGCCGAAAATACTCAAGAATACCCAAATTGTGAGTAATATATTCATTTTTATAATATTCATTGCAAATTGATTTTTTAAATTAAATTCAAATTATCATGCTGTGTGGGGATAGTTTCCATTCTGGACATGCGCTAAGATTTTGTCAGGAACTAAAAGGTGTTGTTTTGTCATGCAGTAAGCATGATACTCAGAAAGGAGTGTCAATATAAGAAGAATAAAAACTCAGTTCCTTTCACCTATCGTGTGTGAATGGGTATTTTTATTTTTGTATTATTCGTGTTAACTTTGAATTTTTCCAAATTATGCTGCCTGCTCAGACATTAGTACAAATAAAGTTTCCTTTAGGAGAAGTGTAGGGCTACCACTTAACTTTTTTGGTTTTTACAATAAATATCTCTTTTGATATATCTTAGGTATTTTTTATGAAGATTATCCCCATAAAAGAATAGCAAAATAAATTACATAAAATAATGTTGGGAAATCTCATCACATTAATTTTAATTAAAACAGATAGGAAATAAACAGTTTAGTGAAATTTGCACTGTTAATGTTAAACACCAGGTATATAGTATCTGTATTTTTTTGCTATGGCACAGAAATTGTTTTGCTTAACATAAGAATAGATATAACAGATTATTTATTTTAATAACTATTTAAAACTACTTGGGTTGGTTGCGGGTTTAATTCCTGGTCAGGGCACACACAAGAGTCAACCAGTGAGTGCATAAATAAGTGGAACCCAAACAATGTCTCTCTTTCTCTCTCTCTCTCTCTCTC